TTTCAAGATACTAGGTAGTGAGATCTTAGTTATCATCATTCAAATATGCTGGCATCCACCTTCTATCCACAGTCTCATACTCACTTGGCCTTCAGGTATTGCTGCATCCTTTTTGTCCCACCAGTGAAGTCCATTAACGTAGGGTGATCAACCAAACTAGTTTGTCTAAGAATAAGGGTTTTCCCAGGATGCAGGAAATTCAATGTTTAAATCAGGAAAGTCTTGTTCAGCATGTAAGAAACATTTGAAGACTCTCTGTAGTGCTGGCATTGAGGAACTTGTGTAAGCCTATTTCAGGCTTTCTCTCTAGATATTCATGCAGCCCTTTCTACTCTATGCCTCCTGGTCCATATTAGACACAAATGAGCTTCACAAAGCTTGTTACCTTCTTGGACTTCATTGAGGAAGGAAGAAATAGGTTTCCTTTGGTCTTGGATTCCTAAAAACTACTTGAAATGCTATCATTATAAATTTATTGGGCTGCAAATAATAGACAACCCTGCTATAGTAAATTATTATATAAGTTAGGTGTTTGTTTTCGCCAATACAAAATCTAGAGACAGGCAATGCAGGATGAAGAAGACTATCTTTCTGCTCTACTGTCCTTAGCGTGTGATTTTTATTTCATAGTCCCAATGCAACTGCCATAATTCCAAGGTTATAAATGCAAGTTTTTTTTTTCTTAATTTCTATGGTAGAGAAAGGTAAGGCAGAAGAGTTTGGAATGTTTGAGCAACATATAGTACCTTCCACAAGAACATTAGCGATGTCTAACTGTACTAATTTTCCTATAATTCTCTTTCACTAATACTTATCAGTCAAGTGATGACTCTGATGGCTTATGTATTTATGTTTTATGTTTTTTTGTTGTTAAAAAAAGGTGGTTTGAGCTTTGGACAATCGAAATCCAAAAACTAACAGCTAATGTCCTATCAGAATCTCTCCCTCTCTTTTTATTTAGAGACAGGGAATTATAGCTCACTGTAACCTCAAACTCCTGGGCTCAAGCAATCCTCCTGCCCCAGCCTCCTGAATCATTGTGATTACAGGCTTGAGCCACCATGCCTGGCCACAATCTCCCTTAATACATAGGATGCCTCATGGTCCACAGATATATTAGGGGCAAATACCCACAGGTTAAAATCTCAAAATATTTTCCCACCAGAATTCATGCAACAAAATTCTTTTAAAAAAATTTGTAGGGATAAGTTCTCACTATGTTGCTCAGGCTTGTCTCAAACTCTTGGGCTGAAGCAATCCTCCTGCCTCCGCCTCTCAGAGTGCTATGATTACATGTGTAAGCCACCATGCCTGGCCAACAACAAATGTTTATTGAGTGACCATGGTATGCTGGGCACAGTGCTAGGCCCTGAAGACTCAATAGCATACCAGATATCAAAGCATCTAATAGTGCTCATAAACATGTAAACAAATAAATCTTAGGTGTATGATAAAAAGTATGCAGAAATCTAGATCACTTTAGAAAGTATGCTCAGGGTAATCTCCTTGAGGGAGTGATATTCAAGGTAATATCTGAAGAATATTGAGATTAAGCTAGCCATAAGAAATGCTGAGGATAGAACATTCCAGATAGAAGGAATCACACTCAGGATCCCAGAGGTGGAAAAGGACTAGGCACATAAGAGAAACAGAATGGAGGCATGTAAGCCTGGAGCATAGTGATGAAAGGGAAGAGCGGTATGAGATGAAGGAGGAAAGTAGGCAACATCTTGATTATGTGGGGACTTCCTAGGTCATGGTAAGGAATGTGAGTTTTGTTTTTGCTTGTTTTTTCTTACCTCTCTGGCTACTGTTTGGAGAATAGATTACAGTAGGTGGTGAGGCCAATTGGAGGCAGGGAGATAAGTTGGAAAGTCATTGGAGTAGCCCAGGAAAAAACCTGACAGTGGCTTGGACTAGAGTGGGGACAGAAATGGAGAGTTTAGTTGATGGATTCAAGATCTACTTTGAAAGTAGAATTGACTGGATGTGGGGACATGGTAATAAGATAAGATGTAAGTAGTAAGAGAAAATAGGAGTCAAAATCAGTTTCACTCTGCTAAAATCAGTACATCTGCAGGGCTGAACTCTCTCCAGAGGCTCTAGGGGATCCTTGTCTTTTCCAGCTCTGGTGGCTGTCAGCATTCCTTGGCTTGCGGCTACATTGCACCATAATCTGCCTCTATGGTCACACTGCCTTCTCCTCTTCTGGGTGTGAAGCATCTCCTTCTGCCTCTCTCTTATAAGGATACCTGTGATTGCATTTAGGGTCCACCCAGATAATCTCCCCATCTCAAGGTCCTTAAGTTAATCAAATCAAAAAGACCTGTGTCCCAAACGAGGTAATATTTATAGGCTCTAGAGTCTAGGAACCGATATCTTGGGGGCCATTATCAGCCTACCACAATTTACATCTATATTTACCCACTTTATGCTCAAAAGTATGCCAACCTACTTATTGTAACCCATGAAAACTTGCACTACCACCTTAAATCTCAATGTAAGCTAAATGTGAAAATTTATTTTAACTTCAAAAATTATTTTGGCTGAGTGTGGTGGCTTACACCTGTAATCTCAGCACTTTGGGAAGCTGAGGCTGGAGAATTGCTTGAGCCCAGGAGTTCAAGACCTGCCTGGGCAACATAGTTAAATACCATCTCTACAAAAAAAAAAATGTTTAAAATTAATCAGGTGTGGTGGCACATACCTGTAGTCCCAGCTGCTCAGGAGGCTGAGGCAGGAGGATTGCTGGAGCCCAGGAGGTTGAAGTTGCAGTGAGCTGTGATTGTGGCACTGCATTTCAGTCTGGGCAACAGAGCAAGATCCTGTCTCAAAAGAAATTATTTTGTTTTACAAGAAAATTTTTTAATTGTTTTGATTTAGTGATAAATGCAAAGTAATGCATTTAGGTTCTAAGATGACCAAGCTGTTAAATGATCCAAAGCACACCATTCGAAAGTGGTTGAAAGGATTGGCTGTGTCAAAGAGAAGAAAAGAGAAGGCTTAAAGGAAGAGCATACAGCTTTCTTCATATGTTTATAGGGAAGAGGGATTAGACATATGCTGTATAGATGGAAAGAGAAATAATTAATTGCAGGTGAAGAGAGGCAGATTTCAATCCAATAGGAGGAAGTGCTCAGAAAGAACAATGGAAGGTGTCCCCTCAAAACTTTCCTAGTTCTGGAAGTATCTATAAATGTGCAACAGCCCTAAGAGGTGGGGAATATGTAGGAGAGAGGTAGAAAATATATCTTTAGATACAATCATGAGGATATTTTACAAAATATAAAAGTGTCTTTAATGGTTGGTTCTAAATAAATCTAAAATCTTTCTCCAATTCCCTTTTCAAATTATAGCCAGAGTGGTCAAATCTGATTACGTCAGTCCTCTTATTAAAATATTTCATTTGCTTAAAGACCCTTTCCGTACTGATCGCCAGCTTCCTCTTGATCTCTTCTGGAGTCCTTTTTCTCCCTAAATTCTAATCACATTAACAGTTGCTCAACTTTAGATGTTCCTTCCTATCTGAAGCTATTGAACATGCTGTTCTCTCTGCTTGCAAAGCTCTCCTGTCCTTCCTGCCTAGGTTACTCTTACCCAGAGATAACTTTCTCCAGGGAAAGCCTCTCTAGCATGCTAAATCAGTTGGATTCCCATGTATGTTTGCAAGATACTCTGAACTGTTTCATCAAAATTAAAGGATTTATTGTATAATTGACTATGTCTGTCTCCCCTGATAAAATATAAGCTCTGTGAGGACAGAGACATTTTATCTTGTTCAGTACAGTGCCTGGCATATGGTGGGCACATTTAAATATTTGTTGAAGGAATGAACCAACTATTTTTTTTTTTAACCTGGTTTGAAGTGTGGAAGAAGTCTGATTTAAAAAAATATATATGTTTACTTGACACCAGGTTTCTAGTTACAAATTTTCAGAAACACTAGTATGGTTTCTTGGAGAAATATGGTTTCTTGGAGACAGGCCAGGAGTGGTGGCTCACACCTGTAATACCAGCACTTTAGGAGGCCGAAGCAGGTGGATCTCTTGAGGTCAGGAGTTCAAGACCAGCCTAGCCAACATGGTGAAACCTCGTCTCCACTAAAACTACAAAAATTAGTGGAGCATGGTGGGAGGTCCCTGTAATCCCAGCTACTCAGGAGGCTAAGGCAGGAGAATCGCTTGAGCCGGAAGGCAGAGGTTGCAGTGAGCCGAGATCACACCACTGCACTCAAGCCTGGGTGACAGAGCAAGACTCCGTCTCAAAAATAAGAATAATAATAAAAAAAATGGGGATGCAGATGAGAAAAAACAAGCAATCATCAAACAAGCCGCTTCAAGATGGAGTCACCGTGGAACGTCAGAAGCTTCACCAAAGACAGAAAAATTGAAGAACACTTAGGGTCAGGAATTCAAAGGTGGGCAGGTCTTATACAGACCTTGCCCTCAACAAACCTACAGCCTAATGAGAGTAGATAAACACTTAGCAAAGTATTAATAATTTCTGAGTGTGTAAGCCCTGGTAAAGGACGTACACTGGTGTTATGAAATACCTAATTTTGTGGGGTGGGGAAATGGAAGGAGCGGGGAAGGACTGGGTGGTCAGAGAAGCGGTTTAAGCTGAGACTTGAAAGATGAGTAGTCGGAGAACTGGGAGAAGCTATGATTTGGGATCCCACAGAGCGAGACATTCAAGGGCACCTCGGCAGATTTGGTTTACAGTGGCCCCTGGTGTGAGAGGTCATTAGCCTTGTGAACATCCCCTCGGCAAAAACGATGAAGTTCTGCACTTCATTTCCGCGGTGCTGAGCTTGCCTCAAATTCCTGGTGCCTTATCCCGCAGGCTCCCACCAACTGCCGAGCAGAGGTGGCTCGCTGGCGGCGGGGCTTGTCGGCGTCCGATTCACACCCAGTTCCACCCGGAGAGGCCTCAGAGGCCCCGCCCACGCCCTGGCACGTTCTGGGCCAAGTCGCAGGGGCGGCCCGGGCCGCGGCGCTCACGTGACCCGAAGTGTGACGTAGGAGGAAGGAGACGCCATTAGAGGGAGACTGAGAGGCATCGTTCTTCGCCTTTCCTCCGGTGCCTGACGTGGTGGACTGGGCCCTTCATTCTCGGACTTTCCCTCGGCCCTGCCAGGCCTCGTCCGAGGAGGGAGTGGCGACAGCGCCCAGGTCGGCGGGACCGGGGCGGTGGGGGCTGAGCCGGCAGTGGTTGTGAAGGCGCTGCTGCGGCCGTGGGGAGGGCGGCGCGACACTCGGGCTCGGGCGGCGGGGAAGCGACGGGATGGCTGCGGCCGGCGGCGGGGGGGCGGCGGCAGCGGCGGCGGGCCGAGCCTACTCGTTCAAGGTGGTGCTGCTGGGGGAAGGCTGCGTGGGGAAGACGTCGCTGGTGCTGCGCTACTGCGAGAACAAGTTTAACGACAAGCACATCACCACTCTGCAGGTGCGGACCTCGGGGAGCGGGAGGGGGCGCCTCGGGGCCCATAACTCTCCGGGGCTGGGGGAACTTTGCCACCCGAACTCCTGGATCTAGGCAGGCATATCTCAGGCCTGTCATCTCCGCCTTCGGGTTACCTTTCCGAATTCGCCCCGGGGACTCACCAGGTCGGGGCAGTCTGTAGACGTGAGGACAGGCTGTTGGGAGGGAAGAGGAAGGGCCCTGAAAAGTCCCCAGTATCCCCCCGTGGTGACTGCGCACGTTGTGGTCCCCATCAGTGGGCTAGTTTTTCCCTTTTGCGGCACTTCCGCCTGGGCCCTAGGTGTCTTTAGCGTTGCAGTCTCCAAATGTTAGCTCCTTTCCTTTCTTTCGGAATTAGGAACTTAGCTGCGGATTTGATTTTGAGAACTAGGTGATTTGTAACTTCAGCGCTTACTGATGACTAAGTGTTTATGCAAGTTCCATTTTGTCCTGAGTAACAGGAATGGCAAAAGAGCCATCTCTGGAGGTTTTTTGAAATGACCGCTTGCCCTGGCGTGTTACGCAGTTTCATTGCAGCCTGCGTGGGTCTGACTTGTGGGTCAGTCAGATTCTGCGAGGTCTATTGACCCACGTTGAAACACCATGTTAATACTGGCCAACAATTGGTTCCCCAGACTAAAAGCCGCTGCTGTTAACTGGTCTTCTTTACCTGAAATAAAAGGCCGGCTTTCTTCTGCATGTACATTGGAAAGGTGTTAAAATGTGATCATTTACTGAGAGTAAAGCCAGGCCTTTAAGGGAGTTATACTCACCCCACTCTCCCAAAGAAGTCAGTTTTCATGTATTAGAAGAAATTTATCCTAATTTGACCTATCAATTTGGTCAAAGGCAGTAAAATCTAGTAGACTTTTGAGCCTGATTGTCCAGGTTCATATCTCACCTCTATCCATTTAGCTAGCTATGTGTTAACTGGGTAAGTTACTTAACCTGGCTGTGCCTAAGTTTCTTCTGTTAAAATGGCCATAATAGTATCTAGCTCATAGGGTTGTTAGAATAAATATACAGAATATTTTATCCTTGTCCAGTGGCAGCTTTCTTTAATTACTGACCCAGTTTGCACAGTAGGTCATAATTAGTAAATGTGTATTATGTGAGAACATCGATACTACTTAATAAATGCATAATCTCCTAATTGTTGTGACATTGGATGTTTGATGCTATTATTAAACTACTGAGTCTAGAATTTACAAGATGCTCTGGCTCTGATTCCATGTTCTATTTTTACTCCTCTGTTTTTACTCCTGTGTAAAGCATATCTGAAAAAGTGAGTGTCAGGAAACTGCATTTTAAAACAATCCTTGTACCAGAGCACTAACGAAGTTTTAATAGTGGATTGTTACTGTTCAGTGTCATTAGTGAGAGCCTTGTGTTTTAGATCAAAAAAATTCACTGGACAAATACGTAGGATCGTTTGGAAGTTTAGAGATTTACTTAGGTAAAGTAATAAAAATAGCTAACATTTAGTAAGTTCTTACCGTGCTGATTCTTTTGCTTGCTTTCTGTTATTTAATTCTTATCATATCCTATGAAGTGAATAGTTTAGTGGATAGCCCCATTTTACAGGTGAGGAAACAGGTTTAGTTGAGTAATTTGCTGGCAGTAATATTACCACAAGTCAATAGTACAGAAGTATCCAAGCTCGAATTTGAACCCCTGTCTGACTTCAGATTTTGAGCAATTAAATCACACTACCTCTGGATATTGGTAAACAACCCCATCTAGTGTTTTCCTTTATGCAAAGATCTAAGATAAAAGAAAACTATTGTAATTGATGTCTTAATGTTTTTTTCAAAAGATAATTTGAGTCTCGTCCTGTCACCCAGGCTGAAGTGCAGTGATCTCCACTCACTGCAACCTCCACCTCCTGGATTCAAGTGATTCTCTTGCATCAGCCTCCCAAGTAACTGGGATTACAGGCATGCGCCAACAGTCCTGGCTGATTTTTTTTGTGTTTTTTGTAGAGACAGAGTTTCACCATGTTGGCCAGGCAGGTCTCAAACTCTGGACCTCAGGTGGTTTGCCCTCCTTGGCTTCCCAAAATGCTGAAATTACAGGCTTGAGCCACTGCACCTGGCCATACCCCTTCAACTTAAAAATTATACCTTTGTTATAAATTTCTCAAACATTCTTGAAGCTAAAAACAGAGTAAAGATATTTAACTATATGAAAAGCCACTGCACTCCTATACAGGGGAGGATGAAGTTATAGAAGATATCCAGTATTAATGTCTGAATTGTAGAATTTAGGATTTTGTTGTACACCAATTTATATAAACAGCAATGTGTCTAATCTCTTTCAGAGATATCAGTTCACTTCATCTTAACAGTTTTTCAGAGGAGTTTGATTTATATGATTTGTTAGACACAACTTTGTATCCTTTTAATTTGCGAATGGAGAAGAAATCATGTCAGAATAGGAGACGAAGAGTTTACCTTCTTTCTTGTCAACAGACTACCTGTCTCTCTAAACTACTTTGTATTTTATAAAGGGCTTTCTCATACATTTCAAAGAATTGCAGGACAGGAATTTATAGTTTATATATGGTTCACTATTTGGGGTTTTTAATAGTGAGTCAAGTGATTGTCCATTTTTTTTTTTTTTTTTAACATCTTGGAAGTGAAATGAACTGGTATTATGGAAAGTGGAAAGGTCACTATGTCTTAAGGTGGCCCATTTCATTTTTTTTTTCTTTTCGAGACGGAGTCTTACTGTCACCCAGGCTGGAGTGCAGTGGCGTGATCTCAGCTCACTGCAACCTCTGCCTCCTGGATTCAAGTGATTCTGCTGGCTCAGCCTCCTGAGTAGCTGAGAAACCCCAACTCTACTAAACATACATGCCACCATGCCTGGCTAATTTTTGTATGTTTAGTAGAGTTGGGGTTTCGCCATGTTGGCCAGGCAGGTCTTGAACTACTGAACTCAGGTGATCCACCCACCTCAGCCTCCCAAAATGCTGGGATTACAGGTGGAGCCACCACGCCTGGTCCCATTTCACTTTTAGATAGGTCTAACTTCTAATAAATTTTTCTGTATATAAAGCCAAAATCTGTTTCCCTGTAGTTTCCAGTCCTAATTCTGCCCTCTGAATCTTAGTGTCTCATATGACATCCCTTCTGATAGTTGAAGATAGCTATCTTGTCTTTTCTTGGGTAAACAGCTCTAGTTCCCTTAACTGGATCTCCAGTGACAGTGACATAGTTTTAAATCCTTTCACTTTATTTATTTATTAATTTTTTTGGAGGCACGGTCTTCTCTGTTTCTCAGGCTGGAGTGTAGTGGCACTATCATAGCTCCCTGCAACCTCAAACTCCTGGGCTCAAGTAATCCTTCCACTTCAGCCTCCGAGTAGCTGGGACAACAGGTGTGTGCCACCATGCCTGGCTAATTTTTTTTTTTAATTTTTAGTAGAGTTGAGGTTTTGCTATGGTGCCCAGGCTGGTCTAGAACTTTTGAGCTCAAGCCATCTCTTCTAGATACTATTTAATCATTGCCCTTATTAAAGAATGATGCCTTCAGCTATAGAAATAATTCCAGGTTTGGTGGTTTGAACTGAACAGAGAATTGCAGGCTATTACCTCTCCTGTTGAGAGTTCTTTTCCAACACTGAAGTAGAAAACTAGGAAAGATTCTGTGAGCTTTCAGGGAAGCTCTCACTTTGATAAATATTGAATTTGCTGTCAACTGAAACATCTTAGTCTTATAAAGCTTCAAAGAAAGGGTAATTATTTGTCTCTCTCAAATTCTCTTTTCTGTGGTATGGTAGTTAAGCGTTTTCTTTTGTTTCTAATGTACTTGACCCATTAAAGTTGGCTTTGGTAGATTTGCTCCAGTAGTTAGGCCTATTAATGTCGTTTTGAATTTTGATTCTGTATTTCATGAAACACTGGGCTCCTGAGGGCCAAGCAGTGGCTTGGGTCCTGGGCATGAAAAGTATAAGGTGTGGAATCTACTCTCTAGATTAGCTACTTTTTAACTTTGCCATCTGAAGGTTTGGTAACAATGCCTTGAATGTTCTCAACAGGTCATTAACAAAGACTGAAAGAAAGCAGGGAGAGAGAAGGCCAAGTACAAAGCTCTGTAGCAAGTCTTCCTGTAGTCCAGTGATGCATGACCAGAAGTGCAATTTTCTGTAGACGTATAGAATCTTAGGGAGGGGCTTTTTTTGGCCATGCATGGGCCACAGGCTATCCCCTCCTCCCTCCCTTGAGTGAGAAACAGTTATTAATGGAGTACTGTACATATTAATGATAATGGAAGACTGACCACTGTGAACTACTAGTAGACACAAATCCCTTAATAAAATGTAAACAGTTACTCTGGCATTGAAGTTCTCCTTTTTGCCCAGGCCACATCTGTCTTGCCCACAAGGTTATCATGAGATGCTTTGTCGAATTCTTGCAGAAGACAAGATATACTGTGTTTCTGCCATACTCAGAACTATTAGGAGGCCATATAATGTGGTGAAAAGAGAAAGGACTTTGAAGTTAGTCTGGGGTTCGAATTCTAACTCCCACTTCATAGCCATCATGATCCTGACAGAATATTCTAACGCCTGTAAGCGAGCTCCTTTACTATAAAATGGGAGTGCCTTACTCGTAGGACTTTACGTGGATTACACAGACAGCCATCATAGGTAAAGCTAGCACAGACCCTGGCACATATTTGTTTAATAAATGTTTGCTATTAAATGAATAGATGGTGCTGGATTTGTGTTTTTCTTTCATGGTAATTCAGTCAAAAAGCAATGGGATTTTCACATGAATTATATTGAGAGCTCATGCTGTCCCTGAAGCGTCATTACATTTTAAAATTGATTATAGATTAGATAAATGTTTTAAAAATAAATCCATTCTAGTGTTTTCACTGAGATTGACATTTCTGGAATTCACTTTTTTTTTTTTTTAAATTGTGACATTTGCCATACTTTGGTGTTTTATTATGGCTTTTTCCAGAGCTGCTCCAAG